GAGTTTCAAGCTGCCAGTCTGACTCAGACAGCAGTTGGCCATGTGGGAGGTCCAGCACCTTAACCACTATGCCACCTGCTGGCCCCAAATTCATAATTTTTTTAAAAAATGAGCACAAGATTCTAAATTAAACTAATAAAAATTAGAAACTCATTGTTTTTTTAAGAAACTGTTTTAAAACTTTAGTATTTTAAAGTATTTCTTGTAATAATTTAGTTTCATAATTCATTTCTAATCCTTTACATCACGTAAAGCTTCTAGATGAGCAGAACTTGGCAGCAAGGACTTGAAATAAACAAAAAGTGAAAATAAGCAATAAAAATAAGTAACAAAAACAGAATAACATTGCCTCCTCCCCCCATAGGGGGGAGAGACAGAGGGGAAAGTGAGAAATCACCCCATGGGGGGATGACCATGCCACAATCTTCCATTCTCCTCTTGGGATTTTGGGCATGTATACACATGCACTTGGCATGATTTTTCAAGCTCCTGGGCTAGGACTTGAACAACTGTCAACCATGTGGAAGTCCAGAGCCTGAAGTACCACACCCCCTACTGGCCCCCAGAATAATACCTTTTAGCTTCTAAAGTCTAACTTCAAGCTTTATATTAGTTTTTTTTCATTTATTTAAACATGAACTAACACCACTAATTTTTTTATGCTTTTATGAATTACTTAAGCTCTAAATTCAGAATGAACCAGTGTATTTTCTAAAGTATTTGTACAAAACCATTCTTTTCTGTTGTTTTAGTCAAGCCTCACATACTTTGTTTAGTTCAAATGACTATTTGATAGCCATCTTGCTAATCTGATAGAATTGTACACTTGTAAAATTTCAAACATACTATATGGGAAATTCAAATTGCTGAGTTCTTATTATGAAACAGGCTTATATCTGGAGGACCTGGAACTGTGTTACTAGTAGTCCTGGGTATCCCCTCAAGAGCAGTTCCTCCAGTACCTTCTAAGGTCCTATCCAGGGCATCACATCCTCGGGACTGATCTCAATCCTGAGCAGTCTCCAGAGGGAGAAGAGCAAGGTGAATTTTGCCATGTTTTAAAAGCCCATTTGCTGCCTAAGCCAAACCTTGGTCTTTCCACTTTGGCATCATTGGGATTCATGAACCTCTGGAGCAGAAGGAGGTTCTTTGAAATTTAGCAGTATAGTACTAATAAGTATTCTAAAAATTTTCATTCACTTTGGGAATATCCTAAAGCAGTCTTCTTTCTGATTTTTTTTTTCATATGTTTACCTGTTAGCTTTTGAGCAGATTCGAAGTCTATCTTGGCATTATGGGGAAAGAAGGAAGTGTTCAAGTGGCCTGCACATGGTTAGTCTAAGACAGGAGTCAGCAAACTTTTTCTGTAAAGGACCAGATAGTAAATATTGTAGATGTTTATTGTTGTCTGTATAACCAGAATACAGTAGAACTCAAAAGGGGAAAGTGGCCATTTCTAGTTGCTAAGAGACAATGTTGAAGAGTTAATGTGTGATGGGAGTCTTAGAGGAAATAACCACCAATGTGTCAGGAAGGCAAAGACATTCCAGGCCAAGGGAGCTGCATGAGCAGAAGCACAGAAGTATGACACAGCACCATGTACTTGAGGAACAGCACTTAAGTTAGTGTGACTGCAGTGGGTAACCTAACTTACCACTAGGGAAATTGGATTTTCATATTTTAGAATTGTAACTTTGGGGGACAAGCAGATGGGATAATGGTTAACATTGCTGGAGTCCCACGTAGTCAACCGCAGTTTAAGTCATGGACCTGGTGGCTTAAAACTCATGCCAGGTGCATGTGTATTCATGCCCAAAATCCCAAGAGGAGAATAGAGGAGAAGGGGTTGAGGTATGGCCATCCCTCCTGGGGGGTGATTTCTTGCTGTCTGTCTCTGTCTCTGTCTCTCTCCAGCAAGGACATGTTCCCTATAGCAAAAATCTCTCTCTAAAAAAAAAAAAAAAGAAGAAGAATTGTGATTTGGGGGCACAATCCATGCAGAGGGGTAATGTGCTGTTCAAGAGAAGCTGGGTCCCATACGGTGACCATGGTTGAGATTTCCAGCCTGGTTCTGCCTAAAGTGTGCCAGACATGCACACAAGTGCCAAGATCTGACATACTTCAAGAAGGGGATCACAGCATGACTGGACACTATGGATACCTTCTTTCTGTCCTCCCATCTCTCGCATACACACTATCATGAATAAAGAAAAATATATATTTAAAAAAAAACAGAAACATGATTTTCATATGTGTTATAGCCTCACAGCAAATGCTTTTGTGAAAGCCCAGCATGTCAAACAGATAAGGAAAGTCTACCATCTAATAGAGAATAGGGGACTCCGTCTCTACTGTACAGTAGAGTTCGGTACAGAAGGTGTTCAGTAAAACCTCAGGTTCAAAGGGATGCTGTTTGCAAACTTCATCTGAAGAGAGCAATGAAAGGTTTTCAAGATGAGGAACCACACACTCGGATTGGCATGTTCCAAAGATCACTATAAGGCAGTGTGACAGATGGTTCTGAGGAAGATGTCATGAGAGGCAGAGACTGGTGAGCAGATTGTTGCAGTTCAGAGAAGTGGTGCTGAGGGTTGGAACTACAAAGACAGTAGCAGTGGGAAAAGCACATTAGAAGAAACAGAGTAGGAAACTAGTGTTCAGACTACAAGAATGAAAACTGGAAGAGTCGGGGAAAGAGGCTGGAATGACTCCATGTGTTTGACTTGGGAACTACAAGGAGGATAGACTCATTATCAAGTAGCAATGTGATTAGTTTATGCATACATCACCTCACTCATTCCCTGTTGGCCTTTCAGGTTTGTGTAGTGTGACATCTGCACTTAGCCTTCATTCTTGTCTACCTCTCAGGTGTCTGACTTTGTTCAGTAACTCCCTCTTTAAAAGTCTTGTTCCCTTGATGTCTGACATCGGAGCCTTCATATGTTTATTATTCTTGTTCTTTTTGTCTTTACATACAGGTATTCCTTAAAATTTCTGAACCTGTTACCTCGTTTCTCCCTTGCTCATGTCATCTATTATTGTGATTTCATTATCTCAGTAAAGGTCTTTCTCTCATCTTGTGCTGTTTTCTGAATGTCAGTATTATATTTTCAGCTTCCTATTAGACATTGTGGACTCTGTTCATCAGAATGTGTCTAGGGATTGAGCTAAAAATCTTCATCCTTCTCTGTTTCCTTTTTCTGTTAAAGGCTACATTTATCACTCACCAGGGCTCAAAGCTTCAAAGCTGTGTTTGAATCTTTTCTCCACTCTTTTTCTTCTTCAGAGTCTCACCATGCCACTGTTCTCCTGTCACAGCCTCTCAGGCTACAAAAGGACTGCCTACAGTCCTGTGCCACCATACCTGCCTCTTTTTTTAGACAGAATCTTGCCATACTGCCCAAGGTAGTCTCGAGTTTGTGACCCTCCTGCCTCAGCCACCCCAAGGCACTGGGATTACAGGCAGATACCACCATGACCAGCTTTAGGTTGGACCAGTGATCAAACCCAGGCCTCCCTCGTGGTCCCAACCTGTGGGAGTGACCCACACACCACTGTTTCTAGGCCTTTTCTCCACTCACCCCTAATTATTTATCAGATTCTATCCATTTTTCAGATAATTTTCTTCTACCGCTTCCTATGTTACCAGTATTCTAGTTTAGATCTTTCTTGCCTCTTAACCTACATCAGTTCAGTCCCCTCTTTAGTTTGTGTTACTCCATCCCCATTTGTTCCTACCAATGATTTTCCCAACACATACCCCAGTTTTTTCTTTAATGTCTAAAAACCTTCATTAAGTCCAAATTATCAGTAGAATAAAGGTCATGTTCCTTTTTCTGAAATTCAAAAGTTCTAGGATCTGGATGCAACTTTACTGGACTTTCTTTTCACTGCTTCTCATCTTGTATCCTTCTTTCCCGACAAATTAAATTATCCTCTATTTTTTACACCCTTTCTTTGTCCCGCCTCTATATCTTTGTCTTCTGGCCCTTCATCCTGGAACTCACCGCTTCCAGATGCCAAATATCCCATATGCTCCATAATTACTCAAGACTTTGCTCCATGTTTGACACTGCGGAGATCTGCTTCTGTGAACTGCTGTAGCACTTCATCTATCTATGGCACTAACCACTTTCTGTGTGCTCTACACGTACTTTATTCCTCTGCTTAACTGTGAGCTCTTTTAGGTCATGATTTATTTCTAACTCCAGTAGCTCTTTCAGCCTTTATCATTATACATTACATGCTTAAGTTAATATGTGTAGAAAGAAGTAATCTGATCTCACAACAACTCTGTTAAGTAAGCAGGACAAGTAACAATAGCCTCTTGTGGAAGATCAGGAAACAAGCTCAAAGAGGGTAAGAGATCCCTTAGGGCCAGTCATGCCATTATTGCACAACTCTAGTTAAAACATCATTTTCCGACACCCAGGCCAAATGTATTCAGTCGTACCATACTGCATCTCTAGGTGGCTAGCATCAAGCAAACAAAATAGATGGTATAAGTAGTATATGAATTATGTCCAAAGAATTAAAGTGTATCATAAAAGTCCTAAAAAATTATTCCTTTTTTGTTGGTTCCAAGAATAGTAATCATATATTAACCCATTTCTTGGCTTTTAGAGGGCCATGTGTGTATGTGCATGCATAAGAGAAGAGGGAATGTAAAAGACAACTTAGATGAGTTTGGAAAATAATTAGTCAAAGATACCAGGAAAAGATAACCTGGAAGTACTTAGCAACCTCCAGATATTGAAATTGGGGTGAGATCATGTGTAAGGAAGATTATCAGTTTGTACATCTGTTGTTACTGATTGCCATGCTTAAAAGAATTAAAAAATGGCACACAGTTTGGAAAGATCCTGGAAAACGGACTGCTTTACTCTCTAAACATTGTCAGTGACTTACTTTCTTTCCTAAAAATCATCTTTGAAGCATTGTTTTTATTTGAGAGGTTTTGTTATACTCCAATAATACTTTTTTCCCCCTTCCTTTACCAGAGGAAGAAGAAGAGCAGGTGCCCACTGATGGAGGCACATCAGCAGAAGCCATGCAGGTTCCCTTGGAGGAAGATGATGAATTGGAGGAGGAGGAAATTATTAATGATGAGAATTTCTTGGGTAAGAGACCATTGGATAGTCCTGAAGCCGAAGAAATGCCTGCCATGAAGCGACCACGACTCTTAAGCACTAAAGGGGACACTCTAGATGTAGTATTATTGGAAGCTCGAGAACCACTCAGCTCAATAAATACTCAAAAGATTCCACCAATGCTTTCTCCAGTTCATGTACAGGACAATACAGACGTAGCACCTCCGTCACCAGAGCCGCCAATGTTGGCTCCAGTTGCAAAATCACAGTTGCCAACTGCAAAACCATTAGAAACAAAATCTTTTGCACCTAAAACAAAAACTAAAACTAGTTCTCCAGGACAGAAGACGAAATCACCTAAAACCACCCAGTCACCAGCAATGGTTGGAAGTCCTATTCGGTCACCAAAAACTGTATCCAAAGAAAAGAAATCACCTGGACGTTCTAAGAGCCCCAAAAGCCCCAAGAGCCCCAAAGTTATCACTCATATTCCCCAAGCACCTGTCAGACCTGAAACACCAAATAGGACTCCTTCAGCTACAATTAGTGAAAAAATTAGTAAAGAGATCATCCAGGTGAAACAAACACAAACACCTCCTGAAGCTGGAAAACTGAACAATGAGAATCAGCCTAAAAAGGCTATTGTAATAGATAAAACAATTGATGACTCTATCGATGCTGTGATTGCACGAGCCTGTGCTGAACGAGAGCCAGATCCTTTTGAGTTTTCTTCTGGATCAGAATCCGAAGGAGACATTTTTACTAGCCCTAAGAGAATTTCAGGTTCGGAGTGTACCACTCCAAAAGCTTCCACTTCCTCAAACAATTTCACCAAGTCAGGATCCACGCCTCTGCCTCTGTCAGGTGGAACTTCCAGCTCTGATAACTCATGGACAATGGATGCCTCAATTGACGAGGTGGTCCGAAAGGCAAAAATGGGAACACCTGCGAATATGCCTCCCAACTTTCCTTACATCTCTTCTCCTTCAGTTTCTCCTCCTACTCCTGAACCTCTTCATAAGGTGTACGAGGAGAAAACCAAACTGCCATCATCAGTGGAGGTAAAGAAGAAGTTGAAAAAGGAACTGAAGACTAAAATGAAAAAGAAAGAAAAGCAGAGAGATAAGGAGAGGGACAAAGACAAAAACAAGGAAAAGAGTAAAGAGAAGGACAAAGTGAAAGAAAAAGAGAAAGAAAAGGAAGCCTGCAAGGAAACAAAGTACCCATGGAAGGAATTTCTCAAAGACGAAGATTCAGATCCTTATAAGTTTAAAATAAAAGAATTTGAAGATGTTGACCCAAAAGTGAGATTGAAAGATGGAATTGCGAGGAAGGAAAAAGAGAAGCATAAAGATAAGAAGAAGGACAGAGAAAAAGGCAAAAAAGATAGAGATAAGAGAGAAAAAGAAAAAGTTAAAGATAAAAGTAGAGAAGAGAAGATGAAAGCTCCACCAACCCCTCTGGTATTACCTCCAAAAGAAATGGCCTTGCCCTTGTTCAGCCCCACTGCAGCAGTGAGGGTCCCAGCCATGCTACCTTCCTTGTCGCCAATACTCCCCGAAAAACTATTTGAGGAGAAAGAGAAACCTAAGGATAAAGACAGAAAAAAAGACAAAAAGGAGAAAAAGAAAAAGAAAGAGAAAGAGAAGGAAAAGGAGAAGAAAGAGAAGGAAAAGGAGAAAGAGAAAAAAGAGAGAGAGAAGAGAGAAAAAGAAAAGGAGAAACACAAGCATGAAAAAGTAAGCAGTTTATCATTTTCGGCACTATCTGAACAAAGTCCTAGTGAAAAATACAGGTAAACAAAGCCAGCAATAATGATCTGTATTTTGGATATAAATGACCCTTAACTCCAGTGGGACTGTGTTTGTGATGAGGTTTTGAAATACAATGTTAATACTAAAAACTCAAATTCAGGTTCCCTTCCTGTCCACTGGAAGATGTTAAAAATTCATAACTCATGGGGCCAGCAGGTGGCGTGGTGGTTAAGGTGCTGGACACTCCCACATGACCAACCATGATTTGAGTCCCAGACCTGGTGGCTTCCCCTCTCTCTCTCTCTCTCTCTCTCTCTCTCTCTCTCTCTCTCTTCCTCTCTCTCTCTCTCTCTCTTTCTCTCTCTCTCTCTCTTCCT